AAAACTGATTAGCTATATCATAGCCAGTTTTCTACGAATCCTCCCCAAACTTGGCAAGTTAATGTCTTTTGTGAAAAGAAGGAACCTTAGAGCCTTGGTTACCATGGAAACTAAGTCACGTGATCACAAGGCCGCCATCTTGGATTTTTAAACAAGCCGTTTGTAAACGTACCGAAACATCTTTAAAAGTCATGAAAATGCAGATTACTATTCATATTTGCAATACCTATATGGATCTAATTGGATATCTTGGAAATTATTTTAAGTTTAATTTTTAGAATATTTTCTATTTTTTCCAAAAAATTAAAAATATTCTAAAAATTAAACTTCATATAATTTCCAAGATATCCAATTAGATCCATATAGGTATTGCAAATATCAAAAGGAATATGGATTTTCAGGACTTTTGAAGTAGTTTCAATACGATTACAAACGATTTTTTTTTAAAATCCAAGATGGCGGCCTTGTGGTCACATGACCTGGTTTCTATGGTAACAGATATGCGGTAATTGCTTGCCTTGAAGAATTACTACTACGAGCCAAATTTTGGAAAGATTCATAGTAAACTGTCAAAGATATGAATAAATAACTGATTTTCCATCACTTCCTCAAAAGAGCCATGCCTTAATGGTGCTGAGTAGATTTTGCAATGTTGTCCGCTGAGAAACTTTTGGCAGGAAACAGTTTTATTGTTAGATGTCATGTGACCACGAATCAACCAACGAGAGAGCGAGCATTAGAGGAAAACATTCCAGCTATGTAACAATGTTTCATTGTTTGATGATGAATTCATTTGTTTGACATGCTGTTCAAATAACCACCATGGTACATTTTTTGTAGACGTGAACGAGTGCGATCCAGCCAGTGACTGCATGCAAGGATGTGTGAATACCCAGGGTAGTTACAGATGTACCTGTGACAAGTACTTTACAGTAGATCCTACCAATCCCAAGAGATGCATACGTAAGTGATTGTAGTGGAATAGAGTGAATAGCTGTAGTGTAGTTACAGATTTACCTGTGACAAGTACTTTACAGTAGATCCTACCAATCCCAAGAGATGCATACGTAAGTGATTGTACTGGAATAGAGTGAATAGCTATAGGGTAGTTAGTTACACATGTAATGACGTATGACCTTTTACCCTTAGCGGAGTCTCCCTGTAAGGATGGTAACCATCAATGTCAGGATATTTGTTACGTCTCCAATGGAGCTCATCACTGTGCATGTCGATCTGGATACGAACTGCAAAGCGACGGAACGTCTTGTTCAGGTAATTGTATACCTTTTGTAATCTACACCAAATCCGAAATGATTATAAGATATGACGAGAATTTCGCTAATTTAATTCAGAGAAGAACTCAGATTCCCAGAATAAAATTGTACTCAAGATGCAAATTTTGAAAATCATCATATTCAACGATAAAGCGCATAAGCCAGTAACTCTTTTCATTTCCCTTTTTTAATTTTGAAGACGTCGATGAATGCAAAACAGGAAAGAACCGGTGCAACCAATTATGCCAAAATACGATTGGTTGGTACGAATGTGACTGTGTGTCTGGATTTCGCCTGGATGCTGACAACGTCACATGTATTGGTGAGTTATCCAGATGTACATCCCTAGCGTTTGCAATCTTTTTTATCTGAGACCGTAAGACTTTGGGCTTTTAGACATTCCAGATCGGCATGAGATATAAATTGTCAGGAGCAAACCATGAAAAAATGTGTACTTCTTTTCTTAGATATTGACGAATGCATCGAGTGGACCTTCAACTGCTCAGCCTCGCTACGATGTGAGAACACTTATGGTTCTTACAAATGTCAGTGTGAAGAAGGGATGTATTTGATTGACGGCAGATGTCGAGGTTGGTATAATACCTTTTACAGGAGAAGTAGATGTACTTCTCTATGCTGTTTATTCTATTTCTCTTAAACCGACTGGATGTCGCCTTTTAATGGGTTCAAAAAAATTCAAACCATTTATCCATTGTTTTTTTCCCCAACCATTGTTATAACTTTTGTCTCATACAATTTTCTTCATTTTGTCAAGAACTTGACGAAGGGGAGAAAACACCAAAGCCTCCATTGCCTCCACCAGAACCAACCCCTTCAGAAACAGACCTTCGGAATTCTATCAATATCACCATCAAAGGATTGAACATATCTGAGGTTAGAAACTTCTTTATTGGTTCTCACAAGCAACACTGCCTCCTAGTCGGTATATCATGTGTTTTACATGAGCCATATTTTCCATATTCAGGAGAATATGCGAACGTCTTCGTTTATTCGTATGTTAATTACACGTAAATCTTTGTGTTGAATTTGACATATCCGCCAGTCCGCCAGTGGTTTTTATCTTTTTAATTGAGTACATGACGAAATCTGTTCCATGTTGAAATTCCGTCATGAAAAGGTGCCTTTTTGTTTAGATTAAGTGATCAGGCAGATAAATGGCTGCACGCCTTTTGTGTATTTGGAGTATGTGACTCCACACTAACATGGCTTTGTAGAGTATGTAACTTTTTGACTTGACTGAATAATGATAAAAATACTAATACGCATTATATCTTGTGTTCTTTCTTTTTCTTATGAAATGTTCTATCTTTTCTTATGTCCCAAAACAGTGGAGCCAACCAGTGGACTTAGAATTTAAGAAGGCTGTTGCATTTGAAACAACTGACTTTTGTGCGAAGAACAAAGCCTGTCTATCAAAAACTCGCACTGCAAGATCAAGGTGACTCGCAGCCTTTCATCCATTCATTTATAAAATGAAGATAAATTCAGCATTTTCTCTAATCAACTATGTTTGTTCATATTTTCCTTTATAACAATTTTATAGGCGTTCATATGACTACGTCCTCTTCACAAGTGATCAAGTTCATCTTCTGCCAGGTCACCCAGTGCAGTTGTCTTCTTCGTCCATCCCTGATCACGTGATTGCTGCTGTAGCATTCTACGTTAATTTCCCACCAGGAGTCGCCATTGGAGTTACTGACACGGTCGATGGGAATCTTCTTGTTGATATCGTGAATGGATCTCTCGCTCGTATCGGCAGAGCCATCAACAAGACTATACTCTCTGTAACCGTGCACATGGTTGACCAACCTTTTACTACAACAAGTGCTCCTACCAATGAAACAGAAGTACCAACGACGCCAAATGATAAACTGCTTTTCATTATCATTGGTGGCTCAGCTACTGGGCTCATAGTTATGATAATTATCATTGCATTGGTTATAAGGTCAGTTCCTGGCCTGTTTGTTTGTTTGTTGTTGTTGTTAGTTTTTTTTTCTTTTTTCTTCTTGATAAAGCAGAAGAAAGTCACTGCACTAATGTTCAAGGATTCCAGGACCGATTTCTTGCTTTTGGCTACTTTAACAGCCAGTTCATAACAGATTTGTTCTTTGAAACAGTAACATTTTGTTTTTACGACAGGGCTATAAAACGCAACCAGGATGCTTCAGCAAAGCGGCAAGTAGCACTGGAAATGAAAAGCCCTCATCACGCCATGCTTGAAAAATACGATTTTAAGCAGGCCTTTGAGATGGAGAATCGTGCCATGGAAACAGATCATAATGATTAGTAAGTGGAGTTAAGTGGCTACATAAGAGCAACAAGTACAAAGAAGGTAAATTAACACCGTACCATAGGTACGGTAGTTAGGTAGTTTAGTAGAGCTCCATATAGCAAGAGGCAAGCTCACCGTTCGTCTCGCTTTGATGCAAAGACACGGCTACCTTGCAAGACTATTCAGTTTACTCAAAGTTTTCTCATTCTATATCATAGCAAAAGCAGGTCATGCATGGGTCAGAATTTTAGGATTCAACGGCTCTCAAAAACATCGTACTGCAAAAAGATCGTTGTAGTGAGCATTGTTAATCAGTCTATTTCTGATTTCAGACTTGCAGTATATTTTGTATTCTTTAGTAAAAGCCTTTCTTATTCGGTAGACTGAGATGATAATGACTCGCGGTTAACTAGTTCATTGACTTTACTGGCTGATGAAAATCAATATACACCTTTACCGCTCCCCCTCCCCACGAATGAGGACGTCTGCATTTTCCCTCTCTCGCCTCAATTTCTAAAATACCCGACAAAATTTTTCAGTGTCTTATACCCGAGCTGTTTTAAAAATGTCAAGCTTAGTCCTGTTTTAAAAGTATAAGATTGGTAGTAGAAAAAATAGTACTATAGTAAGAAGACGATCAACCAGTGCAGCTTATTCGTTTTAGAAGCAAGCCGTTTATTCATTAAAACAAAGATAGTAACCACAGTTAACGTGAACTAGTGTTTATTATTATAAATTGCCGTTAGATCAAGTTTACTTTCTTCATTATACTCCTTTTCTTGAGATGTCCAAACTCGCTTTGCTTTAAGGCATGAGTTGCTTTGGGTAAGCCCATTGACCGACAAGCAACGGCAGCATCTTTAACATCCCATTCCTTCTCACATATGTTGCCCCATCCGCCAACGTACAACATTTCAATTCGGCCATCGTTGGGGAATTTTCCTCCAGTAAGACGAAGCCGGGGAAGCTAGGGCCTGTGCCTTCATCACATTCGCAGTTCAGTATTTATAACCTGTATGTGTTTGGTAGGTGTGAGCGGGAAAAGGTACCATGTGTTGAGATTAGCAGGGGGTGAATCCCGAAATGAAATCCTAGAAACGTCCCAGATAATATTCAATGCGACCTTCAACGTCGTTGGAGAGCAGTTGGATATTGTTTTCGTCTGGAAGCCTGCATAAAGCCTGCATATAGACCCCTTGCATTAATTTCCTAGAGGAATTGTTCTGGGGGACAAAACAATAGGCCGTCAAAAAATCCATTGTTTGTCCACCCAGAACAATTCCTCTAAGAAATCAGTGCAAGGGGTCTATATGACAAGGGGTTTAGAGGGCTTTAACGATGGCCCCCTGTGTCATTGAACATGGCAGAAAAGAATAAAAAAACAATCACGTGAGGAAATAAATGCATAATTCTTTTATTTTTTTCATCTTTGTTTTTATTTTATTTTATTTTTTGATTTGGATAAAACTGGCATGCAGGCTAACTTTAAATGGTTATCTTACACTGAAGATACATATACTAGATATTTCTATACTTTTGACATTTACATGAGGAAATAAACTCAATCGTTTTTTGAAAAGAGCCGCCCTTTGCGTTAAAAACGCTTATAACGACAACGCTTTTCTTTTCGACACACTTTCCGAAAGGAAATGACCCTATCCCGCACTGTTGTAGTTTTTTACCACCTTTACCTTTGGAACATCTAGCTCCCTTGATTTGATAAGCAAGGCTACCATGAGGCGTCAATCGGGTATAGTTATTCACCTCTTCTTCTTGGCAGAGGTCTAGATGATTTGGTATCTTCTTTCGCTGTTCTGGAAGGCTGAAGCTTACTGTTTCTTTGGCCTTTAAAGCCTTGAGCAAGTCACCAGAAACTGTTACCAATCTGATTGCTGGATTTTTCAAAACTCCCTTCTTTGTTACCATGATTTTCGCTTCTTCGTCACTCAAAGGTCTCCAGGGAACGATATTGTTGTAATCGCTAGTAGCAATGTTGTTTCTTCCTTTGTTCTTTGTATCTTGTACTGATGCATCGCTTTTAACTTTACGCTTTTGACAATCGTTCGACTGATCTGTGCAATAAAAATAAAGAAAACATGAGTAATCATTGACAAATCTTTTGTTAAATATCTAATATGACGGCCATGCCGTCACAAGCAAAATAATAGTGACAAATCTATATAGAATTGCAGCCATTGCTAACCTTTCTCGACCTGGGAAACGGTAAATGGTAGTTCTTGAAGCAGAAGCATGGTCACCATCAGCAGAGAAAGGAACTGCATCTTCAGTGTTAAGATACAACTCTATGGAAGAAAACCGCCCATTGTCATGTTGGCCAACAGTACACTCACTTTATAATATACGAGGTCATTTGATTCATTCTTTCTGTTTTAGAATCTAATTAAGAATTAATCACAATCCTTCTCCAGTTAAGATAGAAATGTCTAAATTTTATGTAACTTTTCCACAAGAAAGTTAGTTTCGTAAAGTAAATTCTGTTTGTCATTAGCAACATAACAAAAGACTGAGCAATACAAATGCGTAAAATACTTATATTAACTTCTCAATTCAAATTGTGGAGCACAACATATTATAACCATTCAGTGGCGACCGACCTGGCGTATTTGCTCTTACTAGAGCAAAGTATACATCGAATTCTCTAGATTTAAGTAAAGCAAGACGTAGAGTATTCTACTGATCAGTAATTCTCAGTCAAACATTTGAAATCATGATTGAAAGCTTTAAAGTAGAATCATAAGAAAAGAACTTAATGAGAATCACCTTGAAGTTGTAAGTCTCAGACAGTCCTGCGAGAGATCACGTTAGTGAAGAATGAGAGACTTAGGTTCGCTTTAAAAAGAAACGCTAAAGAAAAGACGGTCCTTCATTACGAAAAAATCTAAATTCTTTATTTCATATCACTTAGTAGTTAATCGCTCCGCCCCGCCTTGAGCGCGTTCATGATTCGTTGTCAAATTTGACTTGGATAACCAGTTGAATAAGGTTCTCCAAATTTCACCACAAGTACATTGGATTGTTTGCTAATGGGCCACACTAGCCCAAAAGAGAAGAATATAGGGAATTTAGATGCAAAAATCTAAACAACATGGTAAGTAGAGCTTAACTAGCGTAGCACCTTTTTTTAGAGATAAGTTAAGAGTCACTCGTGGCTCATATTTAATTCAAAGCTCAAATTGCTATTTGCTCCTAATTGAGATATGGATAATGTTTCCATTCAGGGTGGTTTGCCCTAAATTGTTCCATTATGGCTTACCGGAGGACAACTATTACCAATGGTATTTTAAGTAGAACTGAAAACTGATGGTCATTTAGAATGGTCCCTTTTAGCCTGGGCGTAATGTTTCTAGACACCATCAGTGTCATTCTGTTGAGAGTGAGATTCTTAGTTTGAGCTGTATTTATTCCTGTGTCTTCTGATGCGTAACCGTTAAACAAAGAAATGACACTCTAGGGAATAGCATGTGGTCTTAAATGGAGACACATCACTCCAAGTTTAAAAAAAATTATTTGGATATATGGAATGCTAGATAAAAGATAGTCTATCTTTGATTTATTTTCTTAGTAAGATTGATTGCGAACAAAAGGATTGAAATCTAGGGTCCGTCCATAGAATGACGTAATCGTAATTGTTTTTTGTTGTTGTTGTTGTTTTTTTTTTTGTTTTGGCCAAAGTTTGTTTCTGGCCATATAGTTGGTGATAATTCAACGAAAATATTGATATGTATTTCTCTGCCACCTTAAAAGCTGCTCATTGCTAGCTTTCACTTACCGTCATTTACCACAAGTTCAGTTCAATAGAATTCTTCTGGCTGACAGCATATGGTGGTCAGTGTTTGACCACCATTTGGAGCTAATAATGAGATTTTTAAAAAATTCAGCTGATTGAAACCTAGAAAATCTCCTTAATCGCTATGCTTATATATACTATCGATAATTGATATTTTATTTACATGAGCACTTCAGTTGACAACTTTGCCAAACATTTACAAAAACAAGTTTCTCCAAAATTTCATTTTATTTAGTCTACACGGAAACTTCGATCCTCGATTAGAGTAGAAATGATCACTCGAATCAGTTTAGTGTTTTGATTTATTTATTAACGGTAATTGCTGTTTGAAGACAATTTTTCGTATCAGTTCGTTGACTTCAGGGTGGTCATTGAACAGTATCAGGATTAACAGCAGGTATGTACGCATGCCCAGTGCCGGCATAAGTAGCAAGGTATTCCATTGCATCCTGGTTCTCGGTCTACCATTTGATCAAAGTCTTTTTCAATGTCATTCCTCCTCCAATCTGGAATTATATAATACAATATACATAACACTTCGTAATTGTCTTTACTCATACTTTTTATTAAGCAAAATGGCACAGAGATCTTTTTTTTATAATCTACAAAAACGAATATTGTGTACATTCTTTCCATAGCACCACTTTTCACTTCATACGTTAAAAATTTTCTTGTAAGCGTTATATCTCGAAATCCATGAATTGCTGACAGCTGCTAAAAAACAGTCTCAGATGAAAGGTAATCAAGATTAAGTTAAGATACTGTGCTAGCCGTTTTTTCTTTCTTTCTTTTTTTTTTTTTTTTTCCTTTCTTGTTTCTTACAAAATGCATTGGAACTCAGACTTACGTGTTCTTTATTGGCCAATTTTCTAAAATACTTCAATTTTTTTCTTCAATTCTAAAGTCTAATTTTAACATGTCTTTCCCTTCTTTTTGGAACGAGAGACCTTCGAGTATAACGCCGCGCAAGAAATTATTGAATTTCATTTGCAAACAGGACGACCTGGTTCTTACCGTTTTCTTGTACCTGCTGACCAAAAGGAAGAGCACAGGTCATCGCAACGGTCATCACAAGCACCACCAAGGTAAGTTTGTTGAACATTTTGGCAAACTCTTACCTTCTTTCTCCACGTTTTGAAATTTTGCTATAAAGCACAGCTACAGCGATGGTCTTTTAAGGGATATTGCAAAAACATTTGCAATATTTATATGCTTCGAATAGTGGTACCACACGCACCATATGTTCGGACAAGAAACCAACATGGTTAGCCTCTAAGAATCCCAGCGGTTAGAGTAGATAAGGGATTCTTCATGATATTTTAGCTCGCTTTCTACTCAGTTCTTTAAAGGTTATTCTGAGTTTTCATGTTTTCCTCCAACTAGAAGTGTTGTTTTCCATTCACTGTTTTCTTTGCGCGTTTGAGCCGAAATCACCTGGAAAGCAACCGTTCTAGGAACTAAAATTCCAATCTTATCTAGTGAAAGAACCACCAATGTAAAATATATATTACTAAATCCGTTCATTCATTCCTGATTTTATTCATAATCCAATTGTCATTGACAGGATATTTTTTAGCTAATTAACTTTTGGTATGCGGTGAATTTTAAAGTAATTTGTTGATCAACATCTGAAGCGTATTTCTTTGCTGCTAATAAAAGCAGCGACCAGCTGTGAGCATAAGTTGGTTGTCTTAAAATCTTACGTTATTACGTTCGGGGAAAAAAAACGGGAAAAGAGTAAAGACAAGTCGGCTAGAAAAATACACAACGTTTAAACATTTTGCGGACATTGATGTGTATGAAGTGTGATATGTGTATGTGTGAGGTTTATAGGGTTAATTTGTAAACCTAACGTTTGCAAGGCCTTCCAGTCATCCTGTGCTTTATACCACTGGAATGAGCAGATTTCTTTTTTATTCCTTGCTGACTGAATTTCCACCCTGCTCCTCCCCCTCATCTTCCTTCCCCCTCCCCTGTAACACAGGGCCTATATCTATGGGGAAATCAATTAAGAGTGTTGGCAGAGTAAAGGTTTCCCCCCTAATATTACAGGAATATATTCATTGTGGTTTTATTAGTTTCACAATGCAAAAAGTAAAAAAAATGTGCGTACTCCTTGTACAATTGAACGTTTTCCATTATTCATCAGCATTTTACAACCTGAGGTTTTAACTTGCTCATTGCTTATTATTGTGGGCTAATACTGAAATCATGTGACTTGCGTGGCTTAAAACTAATAGACTATTTAAACAAACTCTTACCAAAGGCAAGGGCTTTTAGAATTTGAAGGTTCAAGAAATTTCTTTTTCGTTGTTGCTAGTTTGTCGACTACAATCTGCAATCCAGTAACTAAAACTATGTAACCCTATGTAACTAATGTATATAAAACCTCATTCAAAACGCATGGTTACATTGGCGGAGATGTGAAACAAATTACCTAATTCTGGCTTTGCCTACAAAAGACTCCTGTTTTCAATTTGAATGGAGTCGCTAATAAAGATGCATTTTGCAAAGTTAAAACTTGACAATAGCTATTGAAAAAAAAAGACTCTTATCTTGCTCACCAGATAGGAGTATCTAAAACATAAATTTGAGGAGCAGAAACTCCGTTATTATAGATGAAGTTACCTTTAAGAAGTGCACATTAAAGTGTGCAACATACATGCTCATGTGTGCATTTGGTATCGTGGCTTATCTGTGTCCAGAACATCAGCTCCTAAATTATCGACGCTGAAGTCTCCATGCTGCATTTTCATCTCTATTTCCACTTGCTTCTTGATGGCTGCGGAGGAATTTTCCCTTGATTTCCTTTTTTTTCATAAAAAAAGAAACAGAAAATGATTGATGAACCATTTCGGTTACTGGGAAACTCATAATCAAAGATACCATAAATTTGCAAGTATAAACCACAAAAAGCGTGTTCTTCAAGAGAAAATATCCATGTTTTTCATACGTTCGAGTGTCTTACCAGGTAAGTGACATCGAAAAATTCAAATTACGGCGTAGGTTTATTTATGATCAGCTATAAGTTGATTAAGTATAATGCGTACGCATATCGCGGGCTCATGTTTTGCCAGAGAACGTTTTGTGTTCCACACAGAGCATGCTTCATGGGAAATGAATTGCCGCATCCGATCAAACATTTCTTTAACTACTAACTTTCGAGAAAAGCAAAAACACAAGGCTCTAAAGTAAAAATACTTGGCGAAAATACAAAGACGAAAAGGTACCTCTGCTAGCAGATTGGAATGGAGGCTTAATAGAGTGAAATAATGTCTCAACATTGTGAATGTGCGTGTTAAAAGCCTTGTACTCTTGACCAAGATACTGACCTGATAATTACAGCAACAATGATGATGATCAAAATAACCCCGACTACTGATCCACCAATGATAAGAAAACGGATATATCCTGGTTTTTCTTTAGTATCTCCGATATCAGCAGGCTTAGTATTGGTAGGTGTAATAGGTTTAGTGGTGGGTTGGTTGGTTGTTTTTTTAACCATGTATACGGTTACAGAGAGTATAGTCTTGTTGATGGCTCTGCCGATACGAGCGAGAGATGCATTCACGATATCAACAAGAAGATTGCCATCGACCGTGTCAGTGACTCCAATGGCGACTCCTGGTGGGAAATTAACGAAGAATGCTACAGCAGCAATCACGTGATCAGGGATGGACGAGGAAGACAGCTGCACTGGGTAACCTGGCAGAAGATGAACTTCTTGTGCTGTGAAGGTGATGATTTGCTCGCCGTCGGAACGCCTGGAAAAAAAATTTATAAGTTGTTTTGTTTCTTCTTCTTATTTTTCGTTCTCCAGTTAATTCAATAGATTTACCTTACTCTTCTCTTGGGTACAAAGCAGTTCTGAGCTTTAGCACAGAACTCGGTAGCTTCCTTGGCCACAACGTGTTTGAATTTCAGTTCTTTTTCGTGGTCCCACTATGGAAATATCATGTCAACATTAATTCTCACTATCGTGATTCATTTATCGCTATAGTTCACTAGACCTATACTCTAGATCTAGGCGAACTAAAGGGCGGATCCATGCAGATTTTTTTGGCGGGGTTCTAAAACCTACATTTAATATGTGACGTTATTTTTGGTGCTATACTAATATACACATACAGCATATAGACTTTTCAGTTCGTGTTACTATTGATATACATTTGACTTTAGATTTATAGACCTGCATATGCTGGTCATGATTTTCAGTTTAACGGGATATTACAGTATTAAGATTCTTTGTAATATATTGTACGGTTGAGAAAATTGGAGGGACCCCAGGACCCCTCCCCTGGATCCGTCCTTGAAGAGGACTTGCCATTCGTTGCTAAAAAGATAAGCCTTGATCTATACCTACCTCAGTGATGTTAAGCCCTTGGACAGTAACATTGACAGAGTTTTGGATATCTTTTTCAGATGGTGGTCTTGGTGTTGACGGTGGACGAGTAGTAGCTGGTTTATCTGGTTCTAGAATAAAACAAATATATCACACTTATTTTTCCATATTAGCACTTCATGTGCGTGGTCCACAGGTCATTATAGAATTGGAAATCACAACAAATTTGAACAAAAGATAGGGAAACCATGTGTTCTTTATGTTACTCTGTGATACCTTGACATTCAATCCCATTCCACACAAGGCCTTGTCTACACTCGCATTCGTAGGAGCCAATTTTATTACGGCAACGCATATTAGCAGAGCAGCTGAAGGTCCATTCCAGGCACTCGTCAATGTCTGGAAAATATAAGTTTAATATGCAATCTTAGGCTCAAGCCAAACGTCGAACTCCACATGAGCCGAACCTAATTCATGGATAACAAGGCGGTCTTCTTTGAAGCCATTAGGCTCGGCTGAAGTTCGACGTTTGAAATGAGCCTGTGCACTCTTGCTTAATTTATTTCTATTCTTACTTTCCCGAAGAAATCAATAAGACTAAAAACTTTGCCTGAATCGTAGTCAACAGCAAGTGTGCGTGACAGAATCTAGGAGACAGGAGAACAAGGTTGATGGAAAAGAGAAGGAAATAAGAATACGTACACCCTCCTTTTCTCTCTCTTCCAGGTCCTCAAAACCCTATCAATATCATTCGTTGACCAATGACACACCACAGAAATAAACGAGCAAGTTTGTTATATCTTCACTTACCGACGCACGTCACGTTGTCAGTATCCAGACGATATCCAAGCAGCAGTTAGGCGGAGTCGCGAAGCGCCGACAATGCCAAAAATCACAAGTCGAAAAAACCCACCCCCCCTGGGGTTTTTGGGGGTCGGTAACCCGCGGAACAGGGGGTCTTGCGCGATCGGCCGACACGCGAAATGTGCCTAACTGCTGCTCTGTTGGGGTCGCAAACAGAGGTTAAAATATCCTTTAGATATACGATGCATTAGTAGAGTGTACAGAATCCCATTGTTTCGGCAACCACTTTCGGCTACCTTTTTTTGTGTCCCAAAAGATGCGTATGCGTGTCCCAAAAGATGTGCGTGTCCCAAAAGATGCGCAGCCGCGTCGTGCATGCGTGTCCCAAAAGACGTGCATGTGCTAAAAAAGTGTCTTAGAATGTCGACAATAAGGTTAAATCTTCGTTAAGGATGTGTGGAAACTATTTCAAAGAGTGTCTTAGAATGTCGACAACGAAGTTAAATCTTTGTTAAGTATGTGTGGAAACTATTTCAAAGAGTGTCTATAGAAGGTAGAGGCGATTCGCCTCCCCTTCCAACTTGCGACCAACCAGGACCACATTCGTAGTAGTAGCCAAAACCTTCTGCTCCTAGATATAGACATGGACTCCCAAAAGAGTATTTCGACTACATTGCAAGAGATGGGTATACGAGCAAAGAGTAGAGTGTTGGCGCATTTGCTGCTGGACAATGCATGCGACGGGAACTTGCTGCCGAACATATCCAACTGCGACTACCTACGCAACAACGAAGGTAYTACCAGTTTGCAGCCGCTGGAAGGATTGCCGCCATTCGTAGACGACATATTCGTATATGGTTTCGTTGCAGAAGAGAATTTGTATGGCAAGAAGCTGCTCTGCAAAAATGCAAAGACAATAGTTGCACAGATATCTACGACAGCAACAGTGGCATTTGGTGGGTTTCTGCCCACGAGTATCGTACATACCTGCAAGCAGGGAAAGATCGTAGAAAACATCGAAAAGATAGAAGAGCGCTCCAATGCCAAAGGCAAATGGTATGGAATACACAACACAGATCCTGCTGGATACTTCGTGGCCAAAGTAGACACTTCGGAGCTGCAAATAGAAGATGTCGGGGAAAACGTACGCAAATTTTCCATGGCTTTGTATGGGCAAGGATATGGCATCTACTCCGTGGACTACACACAGGATTTCTCCGGTACTTTGGACAGAGCTGCATTGGTGCGCAGACTGCGGCAAATGGGCTACAAAGAACAAGGAGAAGTTGGTTGGCGCAACGGTACCATTTTGGACAATACGCATGCCGTCGGGAACCATGTTTGTACTTGGATGGAAGACGGAAAGAGAACCAAAATATACAACAAGATAGTGTCGAACTTCGAGGCCGGAGAAGTGCAAAACCCAGTAGGAGCRAAGTTGGCAGAGTACGTGGATTGCCCCAACGACCATTTGCGTAGAACATTCCTGCACCCCGATGTGCAAAAAAGAGGATGCACCAGAGTGGAAATATCCATCTACGGCAAAGACTTCTCCAAATCCCACACCAACGCTATTGCGGAGACCATAGAACCTTTGCAGGACATATTCGTAGTACAGCCGCCAAAGAATTTGTGGTTGGCTCTCGCAGAACACTTGGATAGATGCTGCTGCATTTGCTGCGAAGAGACGGGAGAAATATTCCTAGCGTGGTACTGCCACGCAGGAACGGGTAGGATAGCCGGAGTGCGAGTTCGTGGCAACGACAAATGGGAACAATGTGTACTTTGGACCATAGCAGAGTTTGGCCTGCGCAAATGCCCCATATTTCGCATAGATGTGCTTAGTATGGAACCTGTGGAAATAGCTCCGCTGCGCTGCTACACGAAAGACTCGCCTACGGTATTGGCGGAGTCCAAGTTTCCCACTCGAGTGCATGCAAATGCCCCCACCATTGCCACGATGCTACCCCCAACGGAACACGTAGAGTGGATATGGCGTACGAAGAAGGCACAAAGGATCGGAGTAGAAAAGAGTCTCTTCGGAATACTGGAAGTACCTACGGACCGCAGGATCTCCTTCCTATCCAAAAGAAAACGAGAACAAAGATTGGAAGACATACGGGACGATTTGGAAGGCGACGAGTGGGTCGAAGCCACGCAGAGATACCACGCAGAGCTGTCGGAACAAAAGCAAAACATCCTGCGGCAAAAGGAAGAAGACAGGAAAGCCATAGAAAAAGAGTTGGAAAAATATAGGAAACTATTGGATAGGATTTCCAAAAGAACAGACAATCTGCGTAGATTGTTCTTTGGAAAAGAAAGCCCGTTTGGCCCAGAGGCGCCCAGAGCCAAAGTGCATAGGATGGACCAAATACCCGCAGGAGACTACAARATACTAGGATATGCGATCCCCAGAGACTTGGATGCCAACTGGTTGGCAAGAGGGCACCGCGTAGTATTGCGGAGGAATAGAGAAACGTCTGTGGCATGGGCCACGGAAGCCCTATTGGAGGCATTTGCAGCTGGAAAGTTCGAAGCRAACGGCAACATACGCACTGCCATACCAGGAGAAGAAATATTGCTAGAGTGGAAAAATGGCATAGCAACTGTMTTCGTACCGGAAGGACCAGGCTTGGACACATACCACGAGTTGGCCAGAAAAATAGACCACAAAATGCCGCAGAATCCAGGAAAGCTACTGGAAGTTCCAGCGCCACCGAACAAAGAATGTACGCAGGCTTTGCGCATGCAGCCGGGCGAATACCAATGCTGGCGCTACGCCAAAACCACCTACAGAAAAAAAGAAAGGACAAT